AAGCTGTTTCAATAACCTCTCTAGCCTTACGCACGTAATAACCCTGTTGCCGCTCACCAAGTTCAGGCCATGGTAACCTCGATGTACTATGAATTGGACTTACCCTACCTTCAGAAATTTGGACAATTGCATCACTTAGCAAGCATCGTTTACTTTTCAACTCTTCTGCTTCGTCAATGTAAAGGCTGCATTCAAAGCTTGTTTCCAAAGTTGAATCCAAACAAAAATCTAAGAGTGGCGAACAGTGGGTACCTGACATAAGTGATTTGTCTTGATCAACGTATTTCAGTACTACTTTCACCTCCTGATCCTCTCCTCCACTACACAAAACTTGTCTGCCCTGAAAATAAAATATTGATTGTAAAGGTGAGAGCTGATGAGAGAGGATAAAAACGTTACAATGTTCCATTTGGAATTTTGATTCGAGGACCAAAAACAAAAGCACCTGGTTTTCTCTCAGTGGTTGTCTTTACACGAGGTTGTCAAGTAAGACTTCAGAGATGTAGCCTGCATAGCAAGAGCCGGCTTTTCCTTTCTGTTTTTTCTTGGACAGGCCGCGGGAACACGCGCGTCCACGAGATTTTCTTCCTTCGCTCTAAAATCACCGGCGCCTGCTACGCAGGCTATCTCAAGAGCTGCTAAGTTTTACTTAACCCAAAATGCGTGTGTGAAAGCCTGAGTAAAATCTCAAGTAATTTTACTTTGCATCTCATTAAGGACGGAAAGTTGAGACGATTCAATAAAAGACTCAAGGGACTTGAGAGCTTTGAGAAAGGCAAAGCATATCAACCAATCTTAATTACGTTGGGTGAGAAAATAGCCTTAAGTTAACCTGAAGTAAAAAAGAATCGGTTGTGTGTCAAACTTTATTTTACTTGAAGTATTTAAAATTCGCTTGTCTCGAAAAATATTTCTTAGCTTACTTCGGCTCTACTGTGAAGACTACTAATGCCAGCAAATAGTCACGCAATAGCAATTGTTGACATTGGGTGTGAGTTGTATTGCGCTTCACATCCCTTTCATCGCTGGAATATTTTATTTAAGTAAAGAAAAGTCGCGGTTAATTTGACTCATCTGTATTTGAGGTTAAGGACATCAGCGCTGAGGACATTTTCACCCTGAAAGACAGCTGCAGTATGTTTGAGATTGAACACGTACGATTACAATATTTACATTACCTCTAGATCTTTGGAAGTTACACTTTCGGGTGTTAAATAAAGTTCTGGAATCTTTTCGTCAAAGCAGGTCTTGCAAATGGCTTTGGAAAGAAAAGAAAAACGAACACTATATCAGATGTTAGGTTTATTCCATGGTCCATGCATGGTATTTGAATTCTTGAACATAGAATTTGACTTTGTTCATTACAAGGCTATACCAAAATAACTCACGACAAACAAGAAATGTTCAGCATTACTTACGGGCAGCGATTGGTATCACGATCCTCGTTTGTTGGTATATTCTCTCTGAAATGTCTGTTGTCACATTCTTGGGTTTTTTCAATTTGGAAATTTCACCTTTATGAAGAGGGTGTTGACATTGTCCAGTTAGTTCTCGTAAACGTGTGAATTTACGGCGGTGACGCGGACAAATCGTCATCTTCTTGATTTGCGCATTCACGACACCACACCTTCCAGCTTGATTCAGTATTAGTTTGTACTCAGGAAAATGTTGAAGTCTGTGCGAGGCTGAAGTTTTGGTGCCTCCAGCACCAACTTTAATCAAAAGGTGAGTTACATCGCGGTCTAGAGATGCTAAAGGCAGACTGACGGCTGGCTCACACAACTTTGAGTTATCGCGAGCACCACAGAGGTCATCATTACTCCAGAAAGAACATCGAATTGATGACATTGTTTTTACTACCTCAGTAGGGTCAGACAGAATGCAACCTAAATACCTTAACACCTCATATCTATATTTTCCGCTAAACACACTTATATACTTAAAAAAAAGACTTTTTTCTTTATTTCTTAAAATGCCGCCTAGTATTTAAATTGCCCGTGGGGGGAAATCTCTATTCCTCATAAGCTCGGCTTCTCGGAGATTTCCCCGCCACAGTCACTCCTCCCAAGTAATGCACAAATTTTAAATTTAATGTTAGTTAACCTATTCATTATCGTTTTTATTCTGCTTGTAATTCATTGTGTGTGGCAAAATAATAAAATAAAATAATAAATAAAGTACAATTTTTTACTTTTCCAAGGACTGCCAAGAGATACTGATCATGAGACTTCATCATTAACGCAATTAAATAAGATTTTAAATTTAATTATGGGCAGCAAGTTCTCGTGCAGTTTCTCCGAATTTAATTTTGCCAACTTGCCACTTCTCGTAAAAGGGATTGAAGTGAAAAACTGCAGCGTAAAGTACGCTGTATCTCTTCAGATCATTGCTCTAAGCAGATTTGGGTGTATCGCGCAGTGACGTTTTGTTCTCACAAACAAGACCGCAGCAACAACAAAACCAAAACTCACGAGCAGCCGTGTAAAGCTCACCCCCCCCCCCGCGCCCATCCTCTGTTTGTGCCTACTTATTCTCGAAGTTACAAAGACATCTAGAGCTGAAGGCAAGTGAAACTATTTAATTTATGGACATTTTCTAGCTTTCGCGGAACCTAGATGAAAATATACGATCAAAAAAAAAACAAACAAACAAAAACAAATGCTATCGCTCTCAGATCATGACCTTGCGCTGCCTGTGCCCAAAGCGGGTGAGATGAGCAACAAGTCATGTTAGCAGGTGTGAGTCATGGGGAATATTGGCTCACTGGAAACAAAAACAAATGTCAAACTCTGTGAAATACAAAAGTAAGTCATAGCTAGGGGCAAGGACAGTTTATGTTGCGCGCGGATCGATGTGGTAGTGAAGTGGTTGGGGAGAGAGTTAACATGAAATGAATGTAAAGGCCCAGGTTTAATCATGGGTTTTGGGTTTCTTTCTTTTTAGTAGAAACACTAAACACTTTTTACTCAATAACAGTTTAAAATGGCGTCGCTCTTTCACCAAAGGGAAATATTTGTCTTGCATATATTCGCCAGTATAGATGTTTTAAAAAACACCCTCATAATATATTTTGTCAACAAACTGGGATTCAACATGCGATCGAGTTTTGATTGCTGTCGCTACAAAAAAATTGTTGTTTTCCTCAATGGACTATGAAAAATTGAAAAACATATAGGCATAAAGATACATAAACAGCTTTTTGAGATTTCATTGTGAATATAAAAATACCACTTTTAATGAAAATCCTCCAATGTGGACTGTCGGACCGGAAGTGACTTTCTCTTGAAGTAGATTTTCATATCTTGCCAATTTTTACGTTCAGGTGGAATTAGAAAATAAAAGTGCTACATACAGTATTATTTAGGTAGGTTATTGGAAAGGTTTTGGCTAACATGCTCTATATAAGCTTTATTACAAGGGGGAAATGAGTAGACCGGAAGTGGCTGTATTAGCATCTTCAAAGCGAGGCCGCACAGTGAAAAAGCCGTAACCTTAGTATTTTCTCTTTGTTTTTTACATACCTAGGGCTAAACTTTCTGCTCATGTCGGAATTGTGTTATTTCAAAAGTGGGCACTCAAGTAAATCCGACTTAAATTTGGGTTATTTTTAGTTTCACTAAAAATGTCCTTAAGAGCATTAACTTAACAATTATTTCACAGACAACAGAAATATTTCTTTGATCCATATGTTTTGCTATAAAACCATTAGGGATAGAGATAATAAAAAGTGAGTTTATATTTGGCTTAAAATAGCCCCGACATTGTAATCAAAGTATTGAAAAGTGCCCAAAATGGGCTATAAAAAAAGCATTGGGGGACCCCAAAAAGGGTAACATCTAGAACTCAGCCCAAATAAGAGCAATGGAGCTGAAACTTTGGCATATTGCATAAGTCTCCATAGTAACTAAGTGGTACCAAATTTGAGCCAAATCGGCCGACCCCTATTCCCAAGCCTGCCCCGGTCTCTCAGGCAGAAGCTCTTAAAAGGTGAAATGAATAACGTTCTACAGGCAGGATAGGAAATCGTAGTTAATGTCATGGAAGAAGTAAAGGATTTAGTGTCAGTGTTCTTTTCTATTAATTTCACTGATTCCCATGATTGTTGTATGTTTACAAGTTCTTTTGAAGCTCTAAAAGCTTCCAGGGTTTATTCTAACTATAGCAGTTGTGCCGGCGATTTTTCACACCTACTTTTTACTCTCGCTCAGCCCCATTTCCTTCCAACCGCTGCGGCCCATTTCATTGATTTTCGCGAATATGCCCCGGAGAACCCCCATATGACACATTTTCTCGCCTGGAGAGCCCTCATTCGGCCAATTCCAAAAATCTACAATTTGCTCCGGCCAATTTCTCTCTAACTAGCGCTGCGGGGCATTTCGTTAAAATGGGCCTCAGCGAGGGTTTTCAACTACCGCTGCCAGGCATTTTGTTAAAATGGACCTCAGCGCGAGTTCTACTGTTCATGCGGCCTATTTTAGCTAATTATTTGGCAAAAACGGCACACATATAAGGAGATACCGCTATATAATATTAATGACTGGAGAAATTATCTACCTTAATAATATAGATATGAATATGTTTGATGTTGAACTTATGAATATGTCTAAAGCTGAGTTAATTCGAATGATAAAGGTGTGGATGCACCTATTTCACCAAAGCCAGAGCCAGAAAAAAGAGTAATGTAAAGCGGCTGACATAGTTTTTTGAAAGTGGATCTAAGATGAATCCTGAGCCGGTACAGCCGAATATAGTATATTATGAGAAGAAGCCTGTTTCCGTTCTTGAATTCCGCTTTGAAGAACTCATATTGGCCGGTATTAGTGGATTTACCAAGGACACTTCATTCCAACATTTACATACAGTTTTACAGATACAGTTTACATACAGTTTTCCATTTACCGATGCAGTTCAAGTATAACGGTAAAGTGAAGCAGTACAAACTAGCTGCTGATATGCCCATAATTGTTACACAGAATCTTAAGAAACATGAGATGTACAATATGATGGAATTCACAATTGGAAGTATTAGTGAGAACAGTGATATGGTAAATAATATATGGTGTGATATGAAAGATTTTAGGGAGAGTTTTATCCCAGGATTCTGTTGTAAGGTATACAAATATCAAGGTGCAGATATTGACCAACATTACAACATATATGATGTCAATAGGATGGATAAGAAACAATTGTACACATGTTTATCGCGAACTACAAAATATGAGTACATCCATTTGGATAGCCATGAATTGAACTATTGTTATAGAAGACGTGAGCAGCCTAGATTGGAGCTAGTCAATAGCCATTTTAACAGTGATTATTTGAAGGGCAAAATATACAAAATATCATTGGAGAAATGCGATAAAGTCTATATTGGGTCTACATGTGAAAAACTAGAGACACGGCTGAAATGGCCTGTATCTAACAATACAAGCCAAGTCTTCAAAAACAAACGATATAACCCCAAGATAGAACTCGTTGTGAAAGTAGGAAATTGCTTGAAAGAGTGGAGAATATACTACAAAATATGGCAACAGATTGCTCAACATCAAAGCCAATCCATTGAAGAAAAAGGAGGTCAAATTCCAAGTCAATATGGAAACCGAAAAACAGTTATGAGAGATTAACTAAGCTTGGAATGACCCTAAGAATCAAGGACAATCCCACTGATAAGTTCCTTTACTATGATGGTAGAGTAAATGGCAAACGCTATACTGCAAAGTCAAGATATAGTAAGTGTACCAGAGATGAAGCGTTAGCCGAACTCACTAAGAAGCAACAAGAACTGATCACGGAATTGACAATCGAGTTCAACTAATATTAGGTTAGATAAAAACACATATGAAGAGATATTAATATAGTATAGTATAGATGGAGTGTGGAAATATTCATGAGTTTTTATTAAACAAAGAGAATCTGGTGCAATGCCCATTTTGTGATGAGCAATTGACGGATGTTAAAAGTGTAAAAACAAGGTGCTGTAAGAAGCCAAATATAACTGTAGACGGTTTCAAACGAGTGTGTAGTAATTGCGGCTCTGTCCACGGGTTTAAATTGGCGAATGAATTTGCGGATTTTTATGAGAATAGACTAGGATAAGAAAGAAGTCTGTATACCACAGAAAATATCATATTTTGAATGCCATGAATGATGTTGCTCAAAAGAATAAAATCCAAATAGGATATTATAACAGAGAAAATTCTGAGAATATTTGCTTTAATTGATCAAGTGGCAAAACGAATTGACACAGACCGGAGGCGGATGATTAGTGTTATTCTCAAGCAACTATTTTACATCATGGAGATAAAATATAAATTCATCCCACTTACAAAATCAAAGAAGACATTGAAGTATTATGCTGATTGGTGGGCACAAATCTATGATCTAATCAGGGAGGATATTAATTAGATTTAGGATCTGTTGGATGGGAGAGGAATTATTTAGTGTATTGTTTTTTAAATTTTGTCACCAATGAGCAAACATCAGTAATGGTGTCATCAAATATGTTCAACCCTTTTAGGAAATCATTTTTATTGAATGAGCCCCCTCTTAGAGAAGTTCTAAGATTGAGCAACACTTTCTGGTAAGTTGTATAGGCAAACTTACTCATCTCAATTTTACGTTTATAATCTTTAGTCTCAGAGAAAGTCTTTAGTGCCAAACCAGGGCCGGATATATATCCTAAAGTGGCTGGATTAAGAGTCAAACCACCCGCAACAGCTCCAATTGCTATCAAACCAGAGAAAAATTTATTACGAGATTTAGTTTCTTTAAGTATTTGTATGCCAATATCTATAGTGGTAATATTTATACTGCTCTTTAATTTCCTGAATCTCTTCTTTTGTTTTGGTCTTATCAATGTGATTAAAGTTAAATATACTCATATATATTATTAGTTTAGACTATTTACAGGATATATGACCCTTTAAACTTGTCTTGTAACATTATTTTGTGATATTGTTCGGAATCAAAGTCTGAGAAGTTTGGACAATACATTACTTTATGGATCACTGCATCTTCTGAGAATATTTTGAATTTATAGTTACTTTGGGATGCTAAAGTTGAGGAATAATTAGATGTTGATGTTTTTACCACTGGTGAAATCCCGTCAGTACCTTTTTTAGTTAGCCAAAACACAACTCGTTTACTATTAAAACTATTTAGTAAAGTGACAGAAATTTCATCGAGTTGTACTGCCGGTGCCAGACTCTTATAACCATTAGTTTGTAGTGTTAATTCCTTTTTTTGTATGGTCATAAATCAAATGTGGTTTTTCATAACTTCCATTGCCTATAATCGTTTTTAGTATATACACACTCAGTGATCTTGGTAATTCAAGCAATCTGATTGGTTAGCTATCTCGGACTATGACGTTATATTCACCGCGCTAGGCGGTGAATATAAAGCAGAACAAAATCGCTGAACTGGGTGTTTTGCCAAAGTTTCATAGTAAAGCCTTTCTGAAAATACACGAATATCCAAGTGCTGTTGACTTTGAAGGCAAGAAAAGACTTCATGGTGTTTAAGTAGCGTGAATTATTGTGAGGTGGTTTACTGTAGTTGACTTTTTGCACACTCGAAGCTATGTTTACCACTACAGAGGAAAACGAGGTCGCTTTGTCACTGCTTTGTGATTTCGGGATTTTCTCGCAAGACCAATTTTGCCTATAAATAGAAGTTAATTTATGGAGGAAAGAGGAAGGCAAATATTTTCGAAAACTGTACGTGCCAGCAAGTTAACAAGGCAAAGAACTTTGGAGATAAACAACGCTCACCTTGATCGTAGCCGCTGTTGACAGCATTTGCAAGAAGCGACAAAGAAAAATTCTCATCCACGGTGAGTTGACAGAAACAAATAAAGCTGTACTTTTCTTCTCAGAATTGGGTAGTCATTTAAATTTTCGGCGTTTTCTTTAAACCGATCATGCTAAAGCTTAGAAAACTCGATACAAAAAGATTAAAACTATCATTTGCCATGTTTGAAGAAACTGTAAAGATCTAACTTTTGCGCATCCACTGTTTACGGCTTCGTGTTCACGCATGAATTCACCCGTCAATCAAAATAATCGTTTTTTAAATGGTTTCCTTTCTGATTCTGTTGAGATCACTTCGTGTGAATATACTAAAACAATTATTCACCTCAGGCTCAGTTAATATTGTTGAATAATCAACAATATTGTTGAATTCAACAATATTAACCTCGCCTTCGGCGAATAATTGCTAATTATACTCATTGATCTATTCATCCTCGGAGACCCAGGGGCAGTCAGGCGGGTCGGGAGAAAAGGCGGGACGAAAGTTTTCAAGTACGGGCGAAAGAGCCCCCGGGTACCGACTCTCACCGAACTATTTCCAAAAGTTCAAGCGGCTGGCGGCTCCTCATTGGGCACAAAAACTGTTTGGTGTTATTGTGCCCAATCGGCGAACAGCTTCGCCTGAGTTGTTTTCGTGAGTTCGTACACGACAGCTATTGTCTCGCCACACTTGCCCGGTTCGTTCACCAAGCTTCTGTGTGCAAGGGAAACCTTTATTTTCTACTTTCCTATCCAGAAACGAAGGAACTACCGATGAGTCGAAAAAACGTTTGGGATGCTATCAGCAGGAGCAATCGAATTTGCCCCGATAATATCATAGGTGACGAATTACTGCTCAATTTTGGCGCGAAATTTCAGCGTTAATTTGTAATTTCACATGTGAAATTACCAAATTGCCATGGCAACCTGCCGTACGTCTCCGTTTCAAGATGGCGAGGAAGTGTTGATATGTCATGAATGAAGATCACTGGGCAAAATAACTTATTTAGGTCCAGTTTAAAGGGACTGGTTCACGATAATGCCCATGCGCGCCGTTTGTCTCTTCAGAATAAATTTGTCGGGTCAACTCTAAATTCGAAATCGCCATTACCGGTACAATCATTGAAAATCCTTCGTTTTATTCGGACATCCGTCGCTTTGGCTGGTCTAGTTATACTTCGGTAGAGGTGATTAACGTGTGGTTGTGTCGTTTGACTGGTTACGTTTTAAGAAGACGCAAAAAAATACTGTTTTGATCACGGAGGTTCAGAAGAGCATCGTGGCCGTCCGGCAACAGGACGTTCTCAAGAGTCTCTGGAGATAGAGAAGCTTAGCCTATCGATCTGGTATGGTTCTAGGAGTAGTGTGTGGCATACGAAAAGAATACACGACACTTGGAAAGTGGTTAAAGGCATGAGTTCGTTCAACTTTGATTTGATTTTTGACTCCGACCTGTAGTTATACTGACTGACAAGAACAACTTCTGGGGTAGAATCCAGCATATTATTAGAAGTCACTTGATCGTCTCCTTGAACGAACGCGCTCGCGAATGCGCGAAAAATATTCTACCACGCATGTCAAATCAGATATTGGTGACGTTAAAGGTACGTCAGCAATAGAACGCCAATCAAATGTCCACAGCTACAAACGCGGTATGTTTGAGCACTGTTTTGACAGCGTCTTTATCAGTTCACTTCGAAAAGTTGTGGTGTTCGTCGCGTGCTTTTGCTCTGGTTTTTAGTATCGTATTTTACAGCCGAATCATGGCTACATGCAGTCCTTCTCAAGAAAGACAGCTTGTGCTTATGGAAAGTACGAACAGGAGATTTGATTCATTTTTAGCGAGCCAGAAGAAACTGGAAGCTAAACATCACACAGATAGTAGACAAGTGATTGGGACCAGGCAGTGTTTATTTACATTCCACAGTGCAATAAACCAGTAGACTATTAACAACTCAACGTAAACGATAAGAAAGAGGATACTACAGCCATACAATGAAATCAACCGAAAAATTACAAAATGAAGAAACAAAAACAAAACAACGAACAATCAAACTGCCTTAGGTGTGGGTGGGGGGGAAGCGAAAATACAAGCTATTTAAAAATGCTATAATTGCTGTTGCTAGTAAAGCGTAGGTTCAAATGAACTCAAATAGCTATACATCTAATACGAAACGTGCTAGGTGGGGCAATCCCCTGAGACTTACTAGCGTGGACTATTTTGATTGGTTCTAATAAAGTCTTGTGATTATACAATGAAAGTTGCTCAATATGAAAATACGGACTATGAACCCTTCCTGCCCCCAACCAGGGCCTCTCTGCTACCGATGTCTAGATTTATATTAATAGGATTAATATTCACCTAAACATCACACAGATAGTAGACAAGTGATTGGGACCAGGCAGTGTTTATTTACATTCCAAAGTGCAATAAACCACTAGACTATTAACAATTCAAAGTAAACGATAAGAAAGAGGATACTACAGCCCAAACCCAGAGGTGAGATAGTCGTGAGGTGTTAGTGAGCGTGAGAGTGGGGTGGATTATGACGGAGGATGGCTTTACAAAGCATGTTAGCTGAGTGAAGGCGAACGGTTAGAGGCATGGTTAAATAGATTAAAATGGTGTCAGAGCGCCAATCGCCGAGAGCTTTAATTAGTTCAATGGGTACCTCTGAGTGATAGGCGAAAGAAGCACCTCCTCTGCGAAACGAATGCCCCGCGTAAAGCTTTGGATCAAAACCGAGCGACGCAAGATGACGGCGCAGTACCAAAACAAAAGAATTATACGTGAAAACCTTAGCGGCCTGGCGCTCGTCTAACCAGTTAAATGCCTGCGAATCGGTTGTGGAGACAGTAGCTGTAAAACGAAAAGCATTAATGACAGCGGCCGTGGGACATAGCTTAGAGCGAGGGATGCAAGGCAGTGGGATTTCCACTATCCGTTCACGAAATTGGATAGTCTACTCCAACGAATAGTGATCAGGGTACCCCAGGGGAATATTTTGAAATCTGCCTTAGTCAGTTGTTTACGCGGGTCAAATAAATGAGGGGCCATAGGCAAAAGGTGCGATTTGCGGAACATACCATAGAAAGCCACCAGACAGGTGGCCCAGAAAGAAGCGTCGGTGCTATTTGCCAAATTAAGTCGATCATGGAGCTGAGAAAGCATAGCGGGCGTAATTGGTTGTTTTTGATTTACTGTTAATCCTTTTTGTCTATTAATGCCGGTGAGCAGGGTCCTCAGTGGCCAGTTGTCAAGCAGCGGGTGAGGCAGGCCAAATTCCTTGTGGAGGATGCCGATGATGTTTAGGTAGCTTCGAACTGTGGCAGCTTTTAAACTTCTGGCCAAGAAGGCCGCGTAATGCAGCAGACGTGTAGGCTGAACGGGGACCGGGCTGTAACCCATATAGTGGCAGAAACGCAGATAGGTGTCGCGATGGGTCTGGTAAGTCGCTTTCGTAGATTCTGCAAAGAGCTGAGCACGATACTTAGAAACTTCCTGTTGCAATTGAAAAGCCAACCGAGGGTCGCGTGCACCTAAAAAATATAAGAGAGCGGCTGTAAGGTGACATGATCCGTCAAGACCGTGTTGTCAACACCCCGGGCGCAAAACGCGCTTGCAGGAAGGAATAAAAAACGAGGAGGTGACCCCGCTCGTGAAGCCGAGATATAGCGTCCGCAGTGGTGTTACGAAACCCTTCGAGATAAATAGCGGTAATGTGAAAATTGTACATAGCAGAAAGCCAGAAGAGTTCACGTAACTCCTACATGATCACTTCGTTGCCTGTGGTGCCCTTGTTGATAATCTGGACGGCGGCCTGATTGTCACTATAAATAATTACGCGATGATTTGCCCACACGTGTCCCCAGCGCTTGGCAGCTAGAACAATAGCTAGGGTTTCTTTGTGATTAATATGTAGCTGGGACCATGTTGGGTTGTCGAGGGAAAAGTTAAAATAGAACCAATCACCCCGAAAATAGCCTCCCGCCGCGAGAGAGCACAAATCAGTCATAACATCGACTGTGGGTTGGTCCTCTAAGAAAAACTGCTTTCCGTTGAATACGCGCAGAAATTTTTCCCACCAGGAAATGTCGCAGTAAAAGGAAGGTCCTAAACGATGCTTAGCCCCTGGTGAAAGGGAGTTCATGGTAGTAAGCACTCTGCGGAGAAAAGTGCGTCCGCCGTAAATGACTCTGCACGCCCAATTTAGTTTGCCCGCCAGCCGCTGCAGTTGGTTTTTGGTAGCGCAGCGTTTATGCATGAAGCTAGATACAAGAGCTTGACATTCGCGGAGTTTTTCTTGTGGGAGCGTCATAGTGCAAGCAACTGTGTCGAGTTCGACGCCTAGAAACGTTAGCTGGCGTGTTGGCGGCACGAGTTTGTGCTGGCTGATGGTGAAACCCAAATCCGTGAGCAACTGTAGTAACACTTTATACGCGCGCGCGCATTCCGCCTGCGTGGCACCGATAACAAGAAAATCGTCAAGGTACACGATGACATGTAGAAAGCCTCTCTTAGCCATCATACGCCTTACAGCCTGTGTCAAGCGATGGAAGATTTCTCGGGAACTTTTAGCACCAAATGGAAGACAAGTGTCGTAGAAATAAGTGTCAAAGTCGTCTCCCGAAAAACGCCACTTGCAACCAGTCGCCTGATAATTTGCAGGGTGAATAGGCACTGACCGGTAAGCATGTTTGAGATCGATTTTGGCCATAAAATAATTGGGTTTTAGAAGTTTAATAGCGTCATCTAACGTTTGAAATTTGAAGGAACGAGTGCTGATAAAATCATTAACCGCGTGGCCATGCGGTCGCGAACAGTCATGAATGAGACGCACCTCGGTGGAATTCGGTTTTGGAATAGCTCCTAAAGCGCTAACCACCGTAGGTTTAGTAGCAGAAATAACATAATTGCCTTGCTGAATTTCGTCCCGAATGGTTTTTTCCACCAGCGGGCGGATAGCGGGGTTAGTAGCCGATTTATAATTGCGCATGTTGACATCGGTAAATTGCGTATTGATATTTGCCATTTGGAAGCCGTTAATAATGCCATCTGCCAAAAACGTTTCGTCCTCGTCGCCCGCGAGTTCGCATTGCCAAGTTTTTGCGTTTAGCGGTGAATTAATGAGCGGTAGTCAATTTTGCGGAGCCGGTTTATTTTGCTGTTGCGTCGAAGTACTTTGCTGAGTAGAGTGGATGCAGCCCGGATGGTTGAGGCCGCAAGCTTTACCGCCCGTAGCGCGGCGATTGCACACATGTTCGTACGCACAATTTTGCAAACTACAACCCCTTGAACTATTAAAGTTACGACAGATAGTGCGCCCATCGTTAGTGGTGGCTATAAATCCCGTGATGAACTGAGTGCTGGGGTTAGCGGTGCGGTTAGGTGACCTAGGAACATGGGAGGGTTTATAAATGGGCTCTAAAATAACTGTGTGGAGGTGATTCGAATCAAAACCCCACGGATAATGATATGCTGCCTGTAAGAGGCGAAATTCATCGTCATACTTAAGGACCGAGGCCCAATGGTACCGGTTGGAGAGTTCCATCACCTTAATAGTATATGCTAAATAATTCTGGATCTCGGCTTGCGAGTTTAGTTTCCTACTTGCTAACAAGTTATAAAAAATTCTGGTATTGCTAATCACCCACTGGGACATGGTGATTTGTTCTAAACGGGGCTTTTTAGGCCCATAGGATACAACTAATTTGGTGTTTCCACCATCTGCTATTGTTCGCTCCTCATCTTTAGGGACAATATTGTCAACAAAGTCTACAATCCTTAAGGCTTTCTCACCGGATTGTGGTTGCGCTGGCCTCAGAAACATCTCCGACGCTCGTGATTCCAGCCAGGAGTTTGAAAGAATCGGGGCCGGTTGGGAGCCCGCAGGAACAGTATGGAAATCACCATGCAGCTGGCCTTGCATGCTCCATAAAGATTGGGTTTGGTCTGCAGCACTGCTCGAGCTGGGATTTATATTGAGGAGACCATCCAATGGCGTTGGTAAGGCGTCCTTGGGAAGGAGTGTACGTAGATCTTTCACGTTGGACGGGCAATGAGGCAACTCGTGTTCCGGCCGGCCGGTCGTCACGTCGCCGGCAGCCAATTTTGCCCGTTTGTCGGCCACCCGTTTCTGGAGAAAAGCTATTCGAGTCTGTTTCTCTCTTCGTTCTTCTTCAAGGTCTAATTCTGCCAGCTCCCTCTCCAGATCTCTGATCTGCTCGTCTTCGTCCGGACTAGCGATTGTGGCGGATTTTTTGTGTTTCGGAGAACTGAGCTCCTCGCCTTCGCAGTACTTGCTCGGAATTCCCCATGCGTGGTCAGTAAGAGGGGTTCCGCAGCCTGAACATTTGGAAACTGCTATAATTGCTGTTGCTAGTAAAGCGTAGGTTCAAATGAACTCAAGTAGCTATACATCTAATACGAAACGTGCTAGGTGGGGCAATCCCCTGAGACTTACTAGCGTGGACTATTTTGATTGGTTCTAATAAAGTCTTGTGATTATACAATGAAAGTTGCTCAATATGAAAATACGGACTATGAACCCTTCCTGCCCCCAACCAGGGCCTCTCTGCTACCGATGTCTAGATTTATATTAATAGGATTAATATTCACAAAAAAACGCAACACTTCAGCAAGAAAACGTCAAGTTGCGAACTGAACTCTCAAAACAGGAGCAAACGCGGCTCAAAGGTAAACGTACAGAATCCAAAGTAGAAGTTCCTATCGATTTAAGGGTAGGTTTACGTACTTATTTTATTGCTTTGATGTTAGAAGAAAAGCTTTTCATCATGAGAGATCAGAGTTTGTTCTTATTCTTTAGAGCTGACCGTGTGATAGCGTGTCTTCAAAGGCGCCGACATGCCTGTGTTGTAAACCATCACAGGAGCCTACAAACCCATATTGTCTTCCCCTTCGCGCCCAATTTTAGTATTTAAGAAGTGAGAACATATATTTATTTCACCATTGAATAACACGATATCGATGGAGAAAGTTGCTGTTGGAAGCAACCGATAATGATCGATGATGTGGTTGATCTCAAAGCAGAAGCCATGAACAGGGTTATTGGTTATATGATTCTGTTTCAATTTGCAGGGTTCGCACAGTCTTGAAAAGTCCTTGAATTTCATTTTTTCCTTGAAATTCTATGAAAGTCCTTGAAAAGTCCTTGAATTTTCTTCAACTTTGAATGTAGTGGCCTGGAAAGTGTTTTTTGATGCTTAATTTGGTTGTCCAAGGCGGAATATGAATCATAGCTCAAAGGATTTAAAGGTTATTTACACAAAATGCTCAATGTTTTACGCAATAATTAACTATCAATTTAAGACAAGTGAACTGAAAAATGTAAAGAAGTTGGTGAAGCAAACAGTTCAAGCCCTAAAGCCTTATTAGAATGGACTGGGAATGTGCGTTAACTTTAAAAGTTGTTCATAAAATTGGAAATAGTCCACTGTAAAGTGTCATAGATAGGCTTCAGTTAAAATTGACTTATTACATGAATTAGGTATTGTTTTAACTGAGCATATTTTAATTACTGAGCCTTCACTTTGAAATTAACATACTGTTTTTGTCACAGTCCCCAGTCAGAGGTGAACCAGGACATCTTGTCTAAAATAAAAGAAGTTCTAAAAAAAGAACACGGAGGAGAAAATAGCCCATGGACTGATCTGCAAATGGAAGGATTGTTGTTACATGAATCAACTCTTATTACTAAACAATTAATGAATGAGCCTGAGTATCTTATGAGTAAGGGTGGAGATCGAGGAGGGTGTTATCGGCCGATAACTCCCTCCGAGATCTCCATAATTCTTCATATGATATGAAAGCCAAATTCAAAAATTGTTTTATTATTCATTCAAAATAATTCCGAGTTTAAAAATGTAGCTAAAACATGCTTGCCTCCATCAGTGTTAAGTTCATCTTCTATAGTGCACGTTTAGGGTTGTTCAGCTCCGCAAATAGCAGATGTCGCCCTTCGAGTTGTGTTCCTGCCATGTTTTTAGCTATTATGTCACCGAGTTTTTACTCTTGAAAGAAGTGAAATGTCCTTAATTTTTTGTTTTCACCACCAAAACAACTCAACCTCTTCGCCTGGTCTTCTCGGTTAATGGTACATTAACCTGCAAGGAAGTAGCACTTTTGACGTCATCAGTTGATTAAAACGAAAATTCTTTCAAATTTGGTCATCAGTAGCTGGTTATGATGAGTTATAGGTGTGCTTTTAGCCAATCAGAATCGGGGAAATATTTTGAATGAATAATAACACTTATTATTATATAAACACCAATGAAATACCAGGTGAGCTTTCACTTGAAAACTTGGTATCTTCACATGTGAAAATATCATCGTTGCTATGGCTACATAATAAATCGCGCCTTTCACACCAAAAAACTTTTAAAGTGAAATGGTTTGGTAGTTCATTGGTGTTTATATAATAAATAGAATATTACATGGCCGCTTGGAGATACGAAATTTCTCTTCCCTTGTTGAGAAAATAACACTGCCTTTAGCTAAGGAATCAAGTTCTTGTCTGTAAAAGATATGTACACTTACAGGTACTAGTTCCTTTTCAACCCTAGGGGCAGTTGCTAAATTTAGATTTGAAGAAATCTCAGCAGGTTTTTTATAAAATGTTGCCTACTTTAAAATTTCTTTTTGTTAATTATTGGTCTTTACGTCAACTGCTCAATTCCTTCATTACTTCAGAACGGTAAAGGAGAAATGTCAAAGAATAAAAAAAGGAAAAAATGAAGAGCACAAACAGAGGTGCAAAACGAGTAGACGTCTCACAAGTGTAAGTATAAGGAAGTTTTTTTTCCAAACATCTGAACATGGTCAAATATAAAAACTTTTTTTGATAATTATAAATGCAGTGGTATTCTATTAATAGGGACACCTGTATGTAGTGGACAGTTTTTCATGTCCTCAAGAAAAACAATGTATAATATGTTTATAATGTCATAATGATATTTATTGTCAGTGATACATTGTTTTTTTTTCTGATCTTAACTGTATACGGGTGAGGCCACTTTTATCCTTAGTTATTTTATTTTTACTTTCTTGAACAAATTCCATTATTACAAACATGAATTGATAGATTATATTTATTATTGAAGGACTACAACACCATTATTTAGTTTGATTTTTGTCCTTCTCTATGTTTTTAGTAGAAGCTGGACAGGCGATGTGGGGCTTTTGAGCTTATAAGAGAATCCTTATCCTAGAGCCAGAAGCAACTTGCCCCAGAGGTGCTCTATATCGAGTACATGAGCAGTGAGGAGTCTGCCTATGAAGATGAGGAAGATCCCATCACTGGTGAAGTAACACAGAAACTAAAGGGTTATATAACCAAGAAGCTCTCTTGGGAGAGAACAGCCCTGACAAACTTAAAAAGCAAGCTTGACAGAGCCCATTATAGAAGCCTCACCTGTCATGCCAAAGCATTGGCAAAGCCCAGGTTTGAGGGTGATATATCAAAGAGGCCAGCACCCGATGGTCCATCATGGGCCGTGAGACAGGCCATTGCTCAATAATAGGCTTTCTTATCTCAACTCAAATTTTGCATAAACCAGCATTGAGTAACCTGTTCCTTAGTAAAATATAGCTATTTATTTAAAATTTAAGTCAGTGAGTGGAACTTTGTTTTTACAGACTCAGCAAGACTGGCAGCAATAAATATTTAAATGGAAGAAAAGGAGTGTGGATGATAAAAAAATTGATATCTACGAGGTTGACTTTCAAAAATGCCATCTACTGTGGCTTTCTTAATAGGGTAGCTTATCTGATGAACAACACATATAAGTACTAACTTTGATTTTCAAAGAGAAAAGATTTTCAAAAGATCAAAATCAGGCTTGAGTTTGCAATATTCACTTGAGAAATCTGGGATCAGAAGGATGGGATAACCAAAAAGTTTGTTTGAGATATTAATCAAGGTTCAACTGATATTTGGTCAACTGTAGAAAACAAGCTGCAAGCTGTAGTCATTGATTACACTTAAACTTTTCCAAATTCTCAAGCTCTCAATAATAATTATTTAATACATATTGTTTAAATATTATATGTCAGATTTTTGCTGTTTACAAATTTTTTAGTAGCATTATTGATAAATGTCCATTTAGGTCTTTTGCACTCAATCCACAGTTCAGCTATTTCATAAGTTTTGTTTCCTTTGGCAAGCATTAATAGCCCACCAAACAAACCTATGAGGCATTTGCTTTTTGTTGTTGGTGTTTCCTTAAATGGAGTTAGAAACGGGCATTTTTGTCTGGACTTTATTTTATAATTATAAAATCAACTCTCTATAAGACAGACACCTTTGCGACTAGCATTACTAACGAGCTGTCTGTCGAATAAAGAGAGTAGAGAAGCAGGGACCAACTCTAGATGTCCGTCTTACCGAGGTGTTTGTCTTGTAAAGGTGTCCGGTACTACCAGAAGAAATGAACAGTTTTGAACCATAAGAAATGTATTGAAGACGATAGTTTTACCAATTACAATTCTTTATGCTGTCGTTATTGGTGTTAAATACATTTAGATTTCTGTTTTAGTGTTTTCTTAAAATTATGTGCACTTTGTATTTTCAAAGGCCAATGAATTTCGTTTTAGTAATTTTTTAAGAAAGAATTGTAACCATCTCTATTAAATAAAATAAAGTGAGTTGAAAGCGGAAAAAACTGCTTGTCTTCATTGTGTAGGGAAAGGGATTGACTTAAAAGGGATAGATTAATTTCATTTTTCCAAAAGGATTTTGAAAACTACTTAACTTTTCGGGAGCAGTAACTCATAAAATAGTACCAGACAAAATTATTAGGGCCGTACCATTCTTGAGCCCACTGAAACCAGCCGATTAGTTTAAACTCTAGTTTCTGAAGTCCAATTAACAATTCAAGTTCAAGTCCTTTGACTTTAAAAATCAAGTTTTGGGCATATTTAAGATTGATTATTTTTAGCTAAAACCTTGAGTTTAGGCTTCGTTTAAGTATGGTTTTATAGTACGCTCCTGCTTAATCTAAACGTTTCAAGCACATTTAAGCTTGATTTAATGCAACCAAAACAAGGCGTTTCACACAATTAAACAGCTGATTAAAGCCTTAAAGCTGCTTTAAGCTGGGTTTATGTTAAATTAAAATTTGGGTTTAAGGAACTTAAACGTCCACTCAAACTTATTAAACCCAAGTTTAAGACAAGATTAATTCGTGTTTAAGAACTCTTAAATTTTATTTTTCTTCTTGTGGATGTCGGGGCATAAAAAGACGCTTTAGAAAACCTGAACACACGAAATACCACATCAAGAAGGATTCTTAGAGGTATGTTGTAGTAAAATTCTGAATAATGAAGCCAAATTTTAGCTCTAAACGTTTGAGAGAGTGGAGTTCACGATCGATCGATACGATCCAGGATAAACAAGTCAAAAATCCTCGATTGCTAACGTAATTCGTCACCCATGATATTAATAGGTAATCAAATGGCATACTCGTGAAATAAGAGAATAATTTCACTTGCGTTTTGTCCAAATCCTCATAATTTCCCGCGCCTTTGTTTTGTCCAAATCCTAATAATTTCCCTCGCCTAAAGGCTCGGGAAATTATAAGGATTTGGACAAAACGCGCGTGAAATTATTCCCTAATTTCACTCGTCACCATTTGATTACACATACGAATATTCTGTTTTTGACAGATCACGATGTATCGTAAATAATAGGAAGGCGGCGGCGACAAGAAAGTCAAATAAGCAATAGCTTGACAAGGTAAAACAACAACTTTGCATGTGCATCACGCTTTTTTGTACATTTCTTTGCCGTCAACTGCAAGACTACCCGTGAAAATGCCTAATTTCACGTTTTGTGAAGGACGTAAACAAGCAATGACAAAATTCATTTTCTTTATGAACTTGGATACGGTTGTAGAAATTCAGCTCCAGAATAGTTCGCTTGCATTTGACAAAGTAAGCGAGTTGGAATAATCACGATAGAGACTGAAAAAATATGAATTCACTTTTCCATGCGACGTTTTCGTGGCAGTCAGCCGTGGTGGTATCTTTTGAAAACTCTCTATAAGTATTTACGCAAGACGTGGCCGATGCAAGCGTGAATACCTATTGTAAGCTGAAGCTTGTATTTTTGGAAACGCGTCTTTAGTTTTTGGGCAGACAGTATTTTGATATCAGATGGGTATTTTATATCAAAACTGAAAGTTTCCTGACTGCGTGCATTTCTTTGGTGCTTGAGACAGACAAGCCGTGATCGAGACAATAGCCGTCGTGTACGAAAACGCAAAAAGAACTCAGGAGATGTGTTCGCCGATTGGGGACAATAATACAAAGCTTTTTTTTGTGCCCAATCAGGAGCCGGCATCCGATTGAATTTGTGAGAGTCGGTACCCAGGGGCTCTTTCGCCCTTTCTTGAAAACTTTCTTCCCGCCTTTTCTCCCGACCCGACTGACTGCCCCTGGGTCTCCGAGGATGTGATCTATTCAGCCACAATTGCATAACAACACAAATAGTAAAGCTCTTTTTACTGAATAATGTTAAATCCAATGTTTGATTTTGTAATCTCAATCCTCCTTCCTGAACATTGGCAATAGTCTTTTGGGGAAATGTTATGTTTGGATTTATACCTATAAATGTGATACCGATGCTCCTAATGTCAGTTTATAGTTACTATAGCATCACTGAAATCATAAAATTCTTCAAACATTTCTCTACACACACTATTCTTTGTATAAGGGCCCAATTTTGTCTCCAAATCACTAACCATTTTCACAGTTGCCGCACTATTACTACGGTTTTTATCCAAAGCAATATTTAGTATCGTCGTCCGGTTCATATTAAGGTCCACATTGTAAACAACTTTTGTAGGCTGAATATCAAATGCTGTATGATAATCATATGTCTTGTTTGGATCTAAATCCATTGTTTCGCGGAGAATACCATACATTAATCTCCAACATTAATCACTCTATTATTGCCGACGTTTAAATTACCAGTCATAGAATTAGTGCCCCCTCTAAAAAAATTTATTATTAGACCACCCTATAGTTGCAACTTCATTATAATGGTCATATCCAGTCTGTATGGCACCTACTAATGCGATATTGTTAGAACGAAATACATGACTACCACTTCTATACCTAGCTGGGGTGTATCTATTACAAAATTTACAGTCCACTACATCTCCATCTTGTGTTGCCAGTGGTAGGCCACTTATTTTATTATTACCCATCGCTAAAACTCCACTCATTGTTCCACCAGATAGTTTTAAAAAGTTACTTTCACTCCAGGACTTATTTATAGCATCCCCATTGGCCGTGGGATTGGCAAGATGAGTAATTTTAGTGGGGCTCCCTCGCGCGCGAAGCGCGCGTGGGACAGAGCCCCATACTCATGGAATATGGTCAACCTCTTTTCTTTTGGTTGTCACGTGACTGACCGAGCGTACGTACGTACGCGTCTACAGATTGTACGGGTAGGGTAGGGGAGACTATCAAAAGGAAGGGAGGGGTGTCTCAGGCGTGTCTTAGCAAATCCACATCTTTTACATTGGCCATTCACGATATGGTCTATTGACAGCTGTCAAAACAAGATAGCCACTGACCAGTATCACATTGCCATATCGGGGGCTCATGTGTCAACTCATCAAGGTGACGTGAGTTATTTGGAAGCTGTCCGCTGACCAGTTGTCTTACTGGATCGCGATCAATGTTCAATCTCACACTTTCTAGCAAGTTTGAGAGCACAGGAAAACTGATAATGCACACATCCATTAGACATCAATGCAGGGGGGGGGGGTGGTGAACTTGGTAGTTTGTTTGTCCGGACGATCTTGGCCATCGTGACGTCACGAAGAGAGAAGCGCGCAACTTCGAGGAGTTTTCGAAAATGGCGCCGTTGCCATTTCCAAATGCTACTTTTAAAGTTGGTTTTCCTGGATATTGACGCTCCAAAATGGTTTTTGTCACGGTAGGATAGTGCAGTTCCAACATCTCTTTCCGAGAAGGTGAGTGAAATGTGTATTAATCCGAAAAATAACGCGTATGAGAGCAGTAAACAGTTTCGGTCAATTTCCTCGAGTGGAATAATGTGCCGCAAAAGTTTACATGTTCGCACAGTAATATCGCATTTTCTCGAAATCGGTGAGGTGTAGAACATCGAAACTTGACATAAGGGTGGGTAACTTCCATTGGAAAGCATTATCTCTGAAGTTTATTGAGATAAACTAGCAGA